CCACTTAGACCTCCTCCAATTGATGGAATTCAGTTATCTTTACTGAAAATAATGAAAGATGAAGCTTAAAGCTGATGATATCACTTGTACAATTCAAATAAAAGCCTACTGTGCTGCTTCTGAGTGGTGTTACATAACTATAGCCATATCCCAGTAAAGGTAAAATATCATTGAAGACCACTTGAATTCATGTTGTCCTATTCTGCTTAAAATAAATACTTTTGTTTTATTTTATTACAACTTAGCTGGAGAGAATGATTACAGGAAAAACAGTGTCCGCTGTTCCAGGTATCACAAAAATGGAAAGGACCAAAAGAGTTCTGTATTAAATTTTGTGTTAATCAAGTTCTCATGGTTCAGATACTTTTATGTGTTCAAAAGTTACCCTATTCTAACACATTACACAATATACACGTTATACATTGGACTGTATAATAATAAATTTTACCTTACATGTTAATTCAGCAGCATCCTCTTGACAAAAGTTGAATGTATTTATACGTGAAAATGTACTATTTCCTAAAAGAATAAATTTTCTTATGATAATCTGTGCATTTGTTGCACAGTCAGCCATGAATCTTAGAAAACATTGAGGAAATTAGATGGGGTTCATTTATAATCTCTGGCTACAAGAACATGCTGTTTTAGGGCAACCATATGCTTCTCTTCCTATAGATTTTGGTACTCAGTGTAATGTTTGTAAAAGCAGAGTGGTGTAAGTCACAGGCTCTTGAGTTAGGCTGCCGAGTATCCTGGCTCCACTTATTCCTAGTTTTGTGATCTTAGGCACCTCACTTGGTTTCCTCATCTGTGAAATGAGGATAATAGTAAAAATATTACTATCTCATAAGGTTATGGAAGGATTTAATGAATTAATATATTTAAAGCACTTAAAAAGTGCTTGGCACATAAAGGCTCAAAAAATTTTAGATGTTATAGCTGTTGCTGTTCAACATTGTGACCGATGTGAACTATTTCGAGTTTTTCATTATGTCCTATGAAGTGTATGCAGAGAATAATAAAATCTACTGGGCAAGAGTAGCTTTGTATTAGGAATACAAGAAGGAATATATTCCTTTTGCACTACCTTGTAAGCTATAAAATGAGAGAATAAGCAGATAATAACCCTTTGAAGGAAAGAAGGGAGTAAATATAACTTTAAACATTCTAATCACATGAGTGAAATTGGTTTATATGTTTAGCCAGTGATTAACAAATAATTCTTTGAGACTGGGCAAAAGTTAAATAAAAGTAGAGTAGTACTTGTATTTAATTTTGTAGCAGATTTTCAACAACAGCTCTTCAGGTTACCAGTAAATACACTGGAACGGTGAAGACTCATTCATGACAAAAGCAAGAAGATAAAAGTGTAATGCTTTTTGTATTGCCATGATTAAAGCGGAGCACTGTCTTAAACTTGAGAGTAACTGAGTTTAAAGACTTGATTTGCATGTACCAAGTGAGAGTATAGTATGTGCCTAAGATGAAAAAGGCTTAACTTTAGGCACCTTGCGGAGAAATGACCAGATTTCTTTGTGGCTGGTTCGTGCATAAAAGTAAGAAAGAGAAACCTGCATATGGGAATATTCATGTTATAAGCTTTTATGCTCCATGAGAGGAGAAAAACATGTCATAGAATAAGGATTTCAGAAAGTGAAAAGATATTTACTATTTAGGGTAATTGAGTTGAGAAAAAGGAATAAAAATACAATGAAATATTACAGTGCTTAGCAGGCACTCTTGTGAGATTTGTTACTGCCTTGTGCAGCTTATCAATGTTAGTAGGAAATATAGGAAGAGAATTCAAACTTTATGTACAGAATCATTATAACCCCAAGTCCCCTTCCTCTTTCCCTACCCTATTGGCTGCCTGCTTGCTCAAGGAAAGTTTAATGATACAATCATTTCATAATAGCAGAACTTTACCAATATTAATGTTAAGTCTTTGACTAGATGCTTTTAATTGAAATTTGCAGTGCCTGTGGCCTTAACCTAGCTCAGTATCACAAGCAGCTGCATTCATCATCACCCCATGGACTAGTGGTAATTTTATGTGATATATCATAGGATTTTTCCTTTATAAACATTTGTTCATCGTATAAATGCTTGGATTATCTAATGTGGAGTAACCTTTTGTTTTGAGTGCTTAGAATAATACATTAAATTGTTCTCATTTGGATTTGAAATGGAAAAATGGGAATTTCCCTTGAGTAAGAAACAGAAATGAATTAAATTTATCTAGTTAACAATACTATGATATTCTGAACTTATCTGTAGAATGCATTATCATTACTTCAGACTCACTTTTCATATTAACTTGTTTTTATTGCTGGAGTAAACAAGGTTCTTTTTAGTTTAAACAGGGTACTTTTTTCATGTTTTGTGGGTTCCCATCCTTGTTTTTGGCAGCATAGATTATTTATGCTAAATACTTTAAAAGCTGTATTTTGAGCTTAACAACTTGAGAGCCTTCCTCTGCTCTAAAGTTGTTAAGTGCAAACTGGTGTCTTGGACGTTGTTTAAAATTCTAAAAAATTAATTGCGAACATATAAAAACTGGGAGATTTTATTGAAATTTCAGTGCTTAGCAACTCTTGAAAAATCAGAGCTGGCAACATTGGGTCTGAATTCTTATATGGCAAAACAGCAGGAGCTGAGAGGTAACTGTGCTTTAGATGGGACGTGCATTATTCACTTTACCACTATGCACCTTTGCAGTAGCCGTCACTCATTACATTCGGTATCTGGTCCTTCTCAGCATTGCAACTTCAACAGTGAGTTTGTTTCTTGATGCGTGCCTGTTTCTGTGGAGTTATCTGGAGAATCATAAGCAGCCCTGGTCTGCTTAGGCCATCACTCAGTTTTGTTTTGTTTTTTTAAGCCTTTATTTATTTATTTGTGAGGAAGATCAGCCCTGAGCTAACATCCATGCTAATCCTCCTCTTTTTGCTGAGGAAGACCGGCGCTGAGCTGACATCTATTGCCAGTCCTCTTCCTTTTTTCCCCCAAAGCCCCAGTAGATAGTTGTATGTCGTAGCTGCACATCCTTCTAGTTGCTGTATGCGGGACGCGGCCTCAGCATGGCCGGAGAAGTGCGTCGATGTGCGCCCGGGATCCGAACCTGGGCCGCCAGTAGCGGAGCATGCACACTTAACCACTAAGCCACGGGGCTGGCCCTATTTATTTTTTTTTGTGAGCAAGATCAGCCCTGAGCTAACATCCATGCTAATCCTCCTTTTTTTTTTTTTT